GCTCAGGGTCCTTGTGAGCATGAGCAGAGGAGGACCTGCGTCACCTGTTCCCACAAGGCAGTTCCCATGGTGACATCACTGAGCCTCATTGATAGTAATCAATTAAGTATATCTAAGATGCCTGCGGGCAGCCACGTGGTTCAGTAGTAAAAAGTCTGCCTATCAATATAGGAAAGGCAGGTTTGATCCATGGGTTGGGAAGATCCCCTGGAGGAGGAAGTGGCTACCCACTCCAGTTTTCTTGCCTGGAAAATCTCATGCACAGTGGAGCCTGGCAGGCTACAGTCCACGGTGTCATAAACGTTGGAGACAACTGAGCATGCACTTATGCAGACCACACCTTCATAAAAGGAACAAGTATCACAATCCCCTCCAGAAGAAGATAAGTTTCCTCCAACTCTATTATGCAGGAAAACTGACCTATGCCCAGCCCCTGAGAGTCTCTTTGGTCAGGGCATGACTTATTAGTGCACCCCACTGAACAAGTGCTGATTCTGGGGAAGATTGAGGGCAAGAGGAGAGGGGGGCAACGGAGGGTGAGATGGTTGGATGGCATCACTGGCTCAATGGACATGAGTTTGAGCAAGCTCCAGGAGATAGTGAAGGACAGGGATACCTGACATGCTGCAGTTCATGGGGTTGCAAAGAGTCAGACACGACGTAGAGAGTGAACAGTGAACGGCAACTGAACAGGCAAGCTGTGGTCCCAGCCTCACCACTCCTCCCTTTGTCACCAACCTTCATGGACAGAAAAAGAGTAGTCCAGAGGGTAACTTCACCTCCACAATAAATTATCCCATTTCCACCCACCTTAGCAAGCAAAACTGATCAGAACCAGCGTGGAGTTTAGTTAACAAGTGTATTCCTCTGCATTTCATGCTTGTTAAGCGACCACTCAGTTGTCTCTCTCCCCACTTCTCATTTTAACAATAGTTTCTCACAAGTTTCCTTCCCTAATTTATTTACATTTGTGTCTCTGAGGCATCTTGGGATTGGAATAATTTGCTCAAAGCTTGGCTTTTCTGGGGCTTAGCCCCAGCCAGCCACCTCTAACAATTCTCCTCTGCCAATATCATGATGCTCTTACCTGCAGTACTATAAGAAATGCTCAGACCCTCTTTCCTGTCGTGTCTGACTTGAAGACCGAAAACCCCCCATGGTTCTGTATCTTTGATTCCCACAGTGACCCTATAGCTCCCATGCCCTACAACACAGATGCAGACAAACTGTGCTTTGTAATCTGGTTCCATCACTTATCAGCCATGAGACCATGCATGAGGCCATTAACCTACCTGTCCACCCCCATTATGCAATATGAAGCAGTTAATAGAAGCAAGTTAGATCTCTATCTACTGATCTGAAAANTACATAATATATATTATATATTGTATATATACAATGGAATATTATTCAGCTATAAAAAGAATGAAATATTGTCATTTGCAGCAATGTTGATGAACCTAGAGAACATTATGCTTAGTGAAATAAGCCAGACCAATTTCACTTAGTGAAATGAGAAGACCAATACTACATGGTATCGGCTGTATGTGGAATCTAAAAAATAAGACGAATGTATATACAAAAGAAAAATAGACGCACAGCCATAGAAAGCAAATCTATGGTTATCAAAGGGGAAACAGAGGGAAGGAGGGACAAATTAGGAGTAAGGGATTAACAGATACAAACTGCTATACATAAAATAGATAATCAACAACGATTTACTGAAAAACAAAAACAGCCTAACCACATGACAGCTTTAAACTCAGATCCTTGATCAGGTTGCAGAATTTGTGGTGTCTAAACAGGCAATATCCAGAGAGGCACTGATCATGGAATAAAGTATAAATGCTTATTTTAAAACATAAGCCAAGGGTGAAGGAACACAAGTGACCTGTGCATAGAGACATACCCTGACTGGTGAAGTGGGTGAATGATGAGGTCGATGGTGACTTCATTTTGTGCTGAGTGCAGATTAATGTGGCTTCTGCTTGTACAAGAACTGGCCAGCACCTGGAGCAGAGCCTCTGACCCCTCATTCTAGAACAAGCCTTGAATAATCCTTATGTGAAAAGGAAGGTAAATGAGCACCCTCTAGTGCCTGCATTTCCAAACTCAATAAAAAGAAATGTTACATTTTCACTGGCTCTAGAAATGTTCCTCTTTTACTTGTAATCCAAGTAGCAGTATTACTCATTCCAGTGTTGGTAGTGATGTTATTTCAGTGTTCATCAGCAGCTCACAGCTTTCTCCAAAGGGTGATAAGGGGTGCTGTCCCCAGGGCACATGTTCTAACTCCAGTCTTTCTAAGGTTCGACTCTTTGAAATGAGTAGTCTGTTTTTAGTCTTCACTGCCTAAGGAGATGAAGCTGCATTAGTTTTTAAAGCATTGATGTGAATCATTCAGGTGAAACCAGGGCTTTGGTCTATCCTTGGGCCATGCTAGGCAACTGTATATTTGATTATTTCTGCCCAGAAAGACTCACACAATTATTCAAGGACTAATACATGGCCTCTCTATAAATGGAGGCTTTGCTGTCACAAACAGCATTTCTGAAATGGCTGAGGGTGAAGAGGGGGAGCCCAGAAAGAGCCCTGCCTAGCAACCCATCCCACAGGCAGGGTGTGGGCTGGAGAAAGCTGGGGTTTGAGGACAAGTGAGCCTCAGCTCTGTGTCTCTGGCATTGCCCAATGATCCGTGGAAGTGGACATCCACCACACGCTTCAGTGGACCAGGTCCTCTGACCTCTAATTTCTGACAAAGATTTGTTCATCTGCCCCATTTTCTTAGATTCCTCTTATAAACATTAATACATGATATTTCTTTTTCTGCTTCTGAATTATTTCATTTTGTATGGCCCTGTCTAGGACCATCCACATCTCTGCAAATATATTCCTTCCTTATAGTCCCAGATCTCTACTTAATTACTTACATGAAACTATATTTCACGTATATTTTATTATTACTTATGAAAAGTAAAATTTAAATTTACTAGACTAAATTAAGAATATTTCCAGGCACTTGTTTGAGGAAGCATTTGTCTAGTTGAGACACAAAGAAAACTATAATTTCAGTTGCATAAAACTTTTGTCCATCAAAACAGATTGTAAAAAATGAAGATGTGAGCTATAGACTGGAAAAAAAAAAAAGAGAGAGGGCTGCATACAAATGAGAATGAATCTGTGTGAAATCTTATGTTCTTCAGTGTTGTCAAGGAGGAAGCCATGGTGATGTCCACGATGAGGTATCAGCTTTCCACTGCTGACTAGCAGGGCAGGTGAAGATGGAGCCCTGCCTTTGCTCTCACTGATGGGGTTGAACAGGCTAATGATGGAACAGCTGGGCGTATGGAGGAAGTAAGTAAACAGAGGAGGCGTATGGAGGATTCTGTAAACAGACACGTTTGTCTCCCAGTTCTGCTTCTTCTAAGTCATGAGACATTGGGAAAATGATTTAATGTCCCTGAGCTCTTTTACATGTAAAGTGGGTATAAGAATATTTGATTTGCATGATTGTCACAGAGTTTTGGTGTAGTCAATAAAGCATAAATAGATGTTTTTCTGGAACTCTCTTGCTTTTTTGATGATCCAGAGGATATTGGCAATTTGATCTCTGGTTCCTCTGCCTTTTCTAAAACCAGCTTGAACATCTGGAAGTTCTCAGTTCACGTATTGCTGAAGCCTGGCTTGGAGAATTTTGAGCATTACTTTACTAGAGTGTGAGATGAGTGCAATTGTGTGGTAGTTTGAGCATTCTTTGGGATTGCCTTTCTTAGGGATTGGAATGAAAACTGATCTTTTCCAGTCCCGTGGCCACTGCTGAGTTTTCCAAATTTGCTGGCATATTGAGTGCAGAACTTTCATAGCATCATCTTTCAGGATTTGAAATAGCTCAACTGGAATTCCATCACATCCACTAGCTTTGTTCGTAGTGATGCTTTCTAAGGCCCACTTGACTTCACATTCCAGGATGTCTGGCTCTAGGTGAGTGATCACACCATTGTGATTATCTGGGTCGTGAAGATCTTTTTTGTACAGTTCTTCTGTGTATTCTTGCCACCTCTTCTTAATATCTTCTGCTTCTGTTAGGTCCATACCATTTATGTTCTTTATTGAGCCCATTTTTGCATGAAATGTTCCCTTGCTATCTCTAATTTTCTTGAAGAGATCTCTGGTCTTTCCCATTCTGTTGTTTTCCTCTATTTCTTTGCATTGATCGCTGAGGAAGGCTTTCTTATCTCTCCTGGATATTCTTTGGAACTCTGCATTCAAATGGGCATATCTTTCCTTTTCTCCTTTGCTTTTCGCTTCTCTTCTTTTCACAGCTATTTGTAAGGCCTCCTCAGACAACCATTTTGCCTTTTTGAATTTCTTTTCCATGGAGATGGTCTTGATCCCTGTCTTCTCTACAATGTCACGAACCAGTCCATCGGAAATCAGTCCTGGGTGTTCATTGGAAGGACTGATGCTGAAGCTGAAACTCCAATAGTTTGGCCACCTCATGCGAAGCGTTGACTCATTGGAAAAGACCCTGATGCTGGGAGGGATTGGGGCAGGACAAGAAGGGGATGACAGAGGATGAGATGGCTGGATGGCATCACCAACTCGATGGGCATGAGTTTGAGTAAACTCCAGGTGTTGGTGATGGACAGGGAGACCTGGTATGCTGCGATTCATGGGATCGCAAAGAGTCAGACACGACTGAGTGACTGAACTGACTGACACAGAGCTTTAAAAGGTATGATATGTATATAGACTCTAGCACAAGCGAAGGGCTCAGGTGCCCCTTTCTGTTGATGATCCCCAGTACCTGGTTGATGCTGGGAGATGTGGAAACATTCAGTGCACAGAGGAGACCCTGATTGCTCTTCTCCGGGAGTCCTCTGAGCTCAGCAGGGCACAAGAAGCAAATCTGAAGCGGCTAAAAACATCCCTTGGAGGAGGGAAACCTGGGTGGGAGGCTGCACCGCTCTGTCACTGCTCAAGCTAAGGCAGAGAGGTTTGTGCGCAGAGTGCGGGTGACTCAGCACAGCTGTGCCAAGCTGCTGGCACAGAGGTACAGGGCGGAGTCTGTCAGCTCCAAGGAGGTCACGTTCAGCTCAGAGCTAAAGTCGTGGAACTGTTTTGCTGAGAACCGACTCGAAAAGTTTCCTTTAGCTCTTGGCTGAGTTTCATAAAACTCAAAGATGAACTGGGGGCCCTGACTCCAGGCCTGTTGGTACCAAGATACACTGCTGTGCCCAGACATAGGAGAACATTTCAGGGTTGCTGTCTGTCCCGTCCTTTTGATCAGGTGTCTTGGAGTTTGGGTGACTTCAGCCTCCAAAGGGCCTGTGGGAACCACAGAGATCAAATGAGCGCCGGAGAGAGCTTGATGATTACCCCCGAGGTGAGGTGGAGCGTTCAGGAGTCGGCAAGCTCCGAAGGGCAATCATCTCTTTGTCCACAGGACTTACCTGCTCCCAGAAGATACAGCAGCACCCAGGGAAGGAGTCTGGAGCCCATGGCACCCGGGGGTGGGCAGCAGGCGCAGAGCACTGAGTCTGGTCCGACTGGGTGAGAGCGGAGTTCCGGCTGCGCTCTCTCTGATTGGAGGATTATCCTGTGATAGCCCCGCCCCTTTGTCCTGACCCTGTGGGCTTCCGGAAGCCAAGCAGGAAAATGGCTGAGGGTGACGCAACGCCTGTCTCCACACATTTGTGCTGATGTTTCTCTGAGGCGGGGGCAGCAAAGGGACACTTTTGCTGCCCCCGCCCCCACACCCGCCAGCAACCAGGAAACCCTGTCTCCCCTCACTTTCCTTAGCCCCACGGCTTCTGCTCCCTGGTTTCTGCACTGAAGCCCACCCACCATGATGTCAGCCGAGGGGGAGGGTCTGTGAGGAAGCCTCCAGGTCCGTCTAAGCCTGTGCGGCCTCGTTTCGTTGATGCCGGGGTCAAACCAAGCCTTGTCTGGATATTTTCCTTTCCTGGGCGGCCCCCGTGTTCTGACTGGCCAGTAATGCAGAGACTCTAAGATTTAGTCCATCTGACTGGGTCTTCAGGGGGTCTGGGCTGTCTATAAATTCTTGGGAGTGAAGGTCCTCCAGAAACAAGTCTCAACCTTGATTCACTCAGGTGCAGGGACCTAGCTAACTTGGGATTTACTGTCCTCAAGCCCATCTTCAATTCTGGGGAGTTACTGTTTATCCTTACGGACTCGTCTTACCCTGTGATTCTGACCTTTATGGATTCTAGTAACTGGAATTCCTATAGATTGAGTTTTGTTTATAGGAGATGATGGCAGGAGAGTGAAGGGAAGTAGGAGATGATGGCAGGAGAGTGAAGGGAAGCAGGTCACCACTGTCCTAGTTTATAATAAATGTCTACCCTGTGGCTTCCTTCTCCTTACATTTGATCCTAACTACTCTTTCTTACCAAAGGCCATACCTGGCTCCCTGAATTACAGCACCCTACTGCCAGGAAACAGCTCCCCCCACAACTTTCAGGCCTGAGAGGATAAGAGCCACCCACTTATGCCACCATTAGGACGCTTCTCCTTCCTTTACTGGTTTCCCTGAACCCTGTTCTCACCTTTATAAATAAGATCTTCATTGGTCCTCCTCAACCTGCCATCACCCTGTGAGGTAAAATAGTAGATGTAGCCTGGCGAAAAGGGGAAAATGAGCTCAGAGAATGTAGTCTGCCTTAAAAAAAAGAGAAAGTTCTAACATTCTGCAATTAGCAGTAACAAAAGTTCTAACTGTCTGCAATTAGCAATGACAAATTTCCAACATTCTGCAATTAGCAGTAACAGTATTTCTAATGTTCTGCAATTAGCATTGCTGAGACAGGCAGCAGAAGCAGAGAGGAATATGCAATGTGAAAATAAATAGTGTGACTTCGGAACATAGACTCTGAAGGGGATCCAGGGAAGTCGGACTCCACTCCTCACCTACCTCTACTCAGGGAAGTCTACAGCAGGGTGGGTTTCTTCACATATGTGGTAGAGACCAGGGGCCCCACAAAGATCCCCCTTGAAGGGCACTGCCCTCTGCTGTAGGATTCACCCTTGAATTAGGAGGCAAGAAGTGGACACATTTTACAGAGAGTGGAAAGCATTTTAGATATTTGGAATAGAGTTTCAGAAAGTGAGAGAGTGAGCTAACTGGTATCTCAAAACAGAGATGTAAAAGCAAGTAAGGTTAGTGACTCGATTTTTCATGTTAGATACTAGTTTGTGCAGGTGTGACTTACTCTGACAGCTCTCACCTGCTGTTGTGAAAAGAACGGATCAATGTGTTCACTCTGGTTTGGGTTTCTGTAATGTGAGGGCAACCTAAAAGATCATGGCCAAAGAAGGAATATTTGCAAGGAAGGGTTAAAAGGATGTAACATCATCAAATCTCTATCAGGAGGTGATGAAAATATGGAAGGACCCTAAGGAATAGAAAAAAAGGAAGACTAGTTACCAATGGATAGGAGATCCTGGTACTGTCAAAGAATAGGTGTGGGAGGATAGGAAGCTGTGGGCAAAGTGAGATGTTTAAGTCATCATTTTGAAGATGGGTCATTTCCAGCTGACGGCAAGGAACAGGGAATGATGTTATTAAAGTGAAGCAGTGGAGAAAGAAATAGAAAGAAAAGGATCATAACTTTGGGATAGGCAAACAGGATGTGAAGGACACCAAGTGAAAAAGAAACAAATGGTAAGTTAGGCCTTAAAAAAATGTAAATATTCAATTTACCAAAAGGCAGCATTAAAAAAGCAAGAAAGCAAGCCAAGTGGGAGAAGACAGATTCAATCTATTTAATGGTCAAAAGCTCCTATCTAGGATATAAAAATATCCTCTACAAATCAGTAATATAAAGCAAAATGATTTTTAAATATGAACAAATTTAAAAGCAGGCATGTTATAAAAAAGATAGGAAGATATGAAAAAGTAAATATCATTACTGATTAATGAAGTGTAAATGAGACATCACTATGAACCCAATAGAATGGCTAACAATAAAAAGGTGAAAACCAAATATTGGTGTGGATGGAGGTACAGGGGAAGCCCTACACTTGGTGCTATACATTGGTGCAGCCACTTTGGAAAACTGTAGTTGTATAATCATGAAAGTGATTTTCTCGGAAATGAACTGATTGAGAAGAGGCACGAGGAAATTTTCTTGGGTGAAGGGAATGTTCTTTATTCTGATTTCAATTATGGTTGCATTGGTGTATGCCTTTGTCAAAACTTACCCAGAAATATATATATTATTGTGGGCTTCCCTGGTAGCTGAGTTGGTAAAGAATCCACCTGCAATGCAGGAGACCCCGGTTTGATTCCTGGGTCAGGAAAACTGAGCAACTGAGCTGAACTGAACTGAAAGTATTCCTAAACCATAAATATACAATTACACAGGAGAAGGGAGTCACATTTTTGCTTATATTCCAAGCAACCCACAAGTGAACCACACACAAATAAGAGAAGACAAGAACTATCACAGGCATCAAATATTGAGAATGTGAAAAGTCCTCAGTGACTGAAGTATACAACATCCAAATTTGACCTCAAAATAAGCTGGACTGACAAGTTTTCCCAGAAATAGCTGAGGATCAATGGCTGAAAGAAAGCTGTAGCTAATCAAAAACTTCAAAAGAAAAAAAATCCCAAAGGCTGTTGAAATCATTCCAAGCATCCTGAACTGCTGCAAACACCATAACTTGTCAAAATTGGTTATTCATCAGTTTCACCACTTAAGACTTTCAGCAGATTGGCCAATTAGTGAGTGGAGTTTTTGCCCAGCAAGCAGTCTGCTCTCTTGTCTGTGATCAGGTCCTGGGTCAACCGGTGTTCCCCTGTCCCAGGGGGTATGTGGCACAGAAGGTCAAGGAGTGAGCAGCACTTGGGGATTGCCCTTCCTGCGAAACCCAGCTGTGAACCCCCAGTCTTGGAGTCAGTGGATCCCACGTGAGGAAACTCTGCCCTTTGTGTGTGGACTTCAACCTGTAAGGAACCAAGGAGGGATACGTCCTACTAGGGGCGAATAAAATTGTTGCCCAATAAAAATTTTATATTTTACAAGAAAAAAATTGAAAAGCTCATAAATTTTAATCCAAATCAAATGGATGATAAAAATGAAGTTCTTTCTTAATTAACAAATTGCATACAAATGGGAGTCATGTATAATTTTATGCTTGTGTTCCATGAAGTTCGACTTAGAAATGAATCACACCACAAGTAAGAAACTATGGGAATAGTCATATGTATAAAATATTGAGTATGTGAGATGGTCTCTGTGACCTCAGAAGAACTCGTAACCTGAGAAGATGCAAAATACTGCCCTGTGCCGGCAGGAGAGACTTAGTTTGTCATCCAGTTTTGATAATTCTGCAATTGATCATCTTGGGATTTAATGCGGCTGTTTGATACATCTACTAACATTTCTCCTAAGTGTTTTGTTTACTTGTGTATTTTATAATTTATTACTGAGATTTTTTTTTCTCTGGAGAATTCTTGCCTGGTATTCAGTGAGCCCCAAGCAGTTTTATGTAACAGTTTCAAGATGGGAGAGCTCAAATCACTCAGGGAATTTAAAGCTGCCTGGGTGCTTTCTGCTTAAAAAAAGAAAGAGAAATATAAGTTTCATGTTGGATGCTACTGTTCCTTGGCTTTGCTCAATTGCCAGAATATTCTCAATTGAGAGATGTAACATTAAGTGCTACTTGAATTTACTTTTGTAAGCCATTTTTAAATTGAAGTATTGATATAATTAATTTACAATGTTGTGTTAGCTTCAGGTGTTCAGCAAAGTGATTCAGTTATATATGCATATATATATAATCTTTTTCAGATCATTTTCCATTGTAGGCTATTATAAGACATAGAATACAATTTCGTGTGCTATACAGTAGGCCCTTTTTGTCTATTTTCTATATAGTGGTGTACATATATTAACTCCAATTTCCTAATATATCTCCCTCCCACCCTGCTGCCCCCTCGGGTAACCAGAAGATTGTGTTCCATGTCTGTGAGTTGATTTCTGTTTTGTAAATAAATTCATTTATATCATTTTTAGATTCCATGAAAGTGATATCATATATTTGTCTTTCTCTGTCTGACTTCACTTATTATGATAATCTCCAAGTCCATCCATGTTGCTGCAAATGGCATCTTTTCATTCTTTTTACGGCTGAGTAATATTCTATTTCTATATGTACCATATCTTTATTCATCTATTCATCTGTTGACAGACATTTAGGTGGCTCCCATGTCTTGGCTGATGTAAATAGTACTGCAGTGAACAATGAGGTCACGTGTCTTTTGAATTAGAGCACACACTCACACTTCACGCTGATGGAGCTCAGTTCTCACTAGTCGCGCGAGATCTTCAAAATGAGGAGTTTTCTGCCCTGCTGAGACATGGCCTTGGGAAGAAGGGTCCGCCTCATGTCTGTGGCTGCCCTTTTTGTGCAGAGAGCAGCTGGCTGTGCCACTTCTGCTGGCACAGAAGTACAAGGAGGTCTGGTTGGTGCTG